CTGGGACATTCCAGCACGCAATGAATTGGATCTTTCATGATTACTTAGATAAGTTTATCGTCGTGTACCTCGACGATATCCTCATCTTCAGTAAGACTGCAGAGGAGCACGCCGAGCACCTAAATATAGTGTTGGGTCTCCTAAGACAGCACCAGTACAAGATTAACTTGGAGAAATGCGAGTTCGGTCGCACCAAGATCTTGTACCTGGGTCATGAAATTTCAGCAGATGGGTTGAGGTCGGAAGATGCAAAGGTGGCCAGCATACGTGACTGGCCTAGACCTCAAACTGTTACTGAGGTCAGATCGTTCTTGGGAATGACAGGCTATTATCGCCCTTTCGTCAAAAACTATAGTACGGTAGCCTCCCCATTAACAGATCTAACTCGACTTGACACCCCTTGGGAGTGGACTGAAGAGTGTGAGGCAAGCTTCAAGAAATTGAAGTATACTCTAACACACTATGAAATTCTCAAGCTTCCAGATCCTGACAAGCCGTTTGTTGTGACCACAGACGCCAGCCAATATGGCATAGGCGCGGTTCTTGCGCAACAGGAGGGGCCAAAGTTGAGACCGGTCGAGTACATGAGTAAAAAGATGCCTTCTAAGTCCACATATGAGAGAGAGCTCTACGCTCTGTACAGAGCGCTAGTTCATTGGAGACACTGCCTCCTAGGAAGATTCTTCTATGTGAGGTCTGACCATGAGACTTTGCGCTGGATTAAGACACAGCTTGTACTATCTGACGCACTCAAAAGATGGGTTCAAGTGATAAACATGTATGACTATCAACTTGATCCTATCAAGGGTACGTATAACAAAGTGGACTATTTGGGCGCGCTAGTCACTGAGTTCGGCATATCTGACGAACTCACTTGATCGTTGGTGGAAGCCTATCAAGGAGATCCAATTATGTCAGAAATCATTCGTAGATTCCAAGCAAAGGACAAAAAGACTTTGGACGAATCTACGATGGTAGATGGCTTGTTGTTTCTCGATAAGGCGGGGAATAAAAGACTATGTGTTGCTAATAGTGAGTCTTGGCGTAGTTTATTTTTAGGAGAATGTCATGATGCAACTGGTCATTTTGGCTATAGGAAGACATCAGCGAACTTAGTGCAGAGATTCTGGTGGCCCTCTATGATGGAAGATGTGAAACGCTATGTTGAAACCTGCCAGGTTTGTCAAAGGGACAAACCAAGGCTCCGCTTGGGCTGATCAAGCCCTTGCCGATTCCTGAAGGACCAGGCCAAAGTGTGTCCATGGATTTCATGGATACCCTGGTGACCAGCAGGTGTGGAAAAAGACACATCTTTGTTATAGTGGATCGCTTTACAAAGTATGCAAGACTAATCGCTATGCCTGAAACTGCTAAGACTGACTTTGTCATCAAACTCTTCATGAACAACTAGGTAAGGGATTTCGGTCTACCTACGTCTATTGTTAGTGATAGGGATGTAAGATTCACGAGCGAACTGTGGCAGCCTACTGCTGAACAAGGCACAAAACTCCAAATGACTTCAGGGAATCATCCTGAGTCAAATGGTCAAGCGGAACAGATGAACCGAGTAGTACAGCACCTGCTTAGGCACTATATCAAGCCAAGTGAGGACGACTGGGACGAGAAACTCTCTCTCGTTGCCAGCCTGTACAATAACGCTGTGCATAGTACTATAGGCATGACTCCCAACCAACTGCATCTTGGTTGGAAGCCACGAACTGCCCTTGACTTTCGGCTACCAGAAAGAGAAACCACTGCAGCACCCGACAGTATAGAGTTTGCTGTCAAGTATGAACAGATGCTGCAGCTGGCCATTGAACATATAAAGAAATCTCAGGAAGCAATGATTGCATCTGAGAATAAGCATAGACGGCCTTCTAACTTTCAGGTAGGCGAGAGAGTCTGGATTAAGTCAGCTGAGCTTGGTCAGGAGTTAGGCATATCCCGCAAGCTAATGCCATAGTACTTTGGGCCTTGGGAGATCTTAGACATTGTAGGAGATCAACCAGACGGTCCTTCATATGTAATCCGCATCCCACCTCACTTATGTACCTACCCTGTGTTCCATGCCTCCAAGTTAGCACCTTTTGTTGCCACTGAGCAGTTTCCCTCAAAGATCAATGCTGCCCCCAACCATGGATGGCGAAGTGGAGGTGGACCAGATCGTTGAGCATCGAGTGATGCCTGTTCCTCGACCATCAGGCAGAGGGCGCCCTCCTAAACCGAGAATGCAATATCGTGTGAGCTTCAGACATCATCTGGATCCTAAGGAGGATCGCTGGTTCACACGAGAAGAACTCATGAGAACAGCACCTCAAGTGATTGCAGGCTATGAAAGAGCACTCAAGGGGAAGATGCCTGCAAAATAAGAGACTTCTCAGAGCACTCACGAAGTAAAGGAGGAGGGAATGCGAGGATCAGGGTCCTCGGTAGGCCTATGGGGCCCTGTTTACAGCATTGCCCACCCTAAGTGAAGGTGGAGGTGCCTGCCCTAAGTGAAGGTGGAGGTGCCCGCCCTAAGTGAAGGCGGGCCTGACATATCGCAAGAGGCCCTCGACTGTCAATTTCATATTTGGGGTCCAGGCAGTTGCGACGCGCCAGTTGGTTGAGAGAAACTCAGGCCAGGCAACAATGACATTTCCACGGCCTTTGGGGCTTTTCCAAAGAATGCAGGCCCTGGGCATGATTCGCAGCCTCATACAGAGACAGTTGGGCGCCCAACCGAACGAGGCCCAGCAGCCCAGTAGCTGCTGTACACAGGCAGCCGCCTGGGGCCTTCCGGAAGCTTCTGGGCCCAGGCCAGCGCAGCCAGGCTGCGCGAGCAGGCCAGCTCTTTCCATAAAGAAAAGAGCTCACCCCTGGCAGCCTCATTCAGGCACTCGAATGCTAGCGGCAGCGCTGCTGGAGCAAGAGCACGCAGCTGCTGGCTGGCGCTGAGGGGTGAGGTGCAGCACGTGCGTCGTGCGGTCGTGCAGGGAAGAAGGGCGCTGCTGAGGGCAGTGCCATAGCCCAGCCACCATAGCTGGTGGGCTTGGTCTACAGTGAGGCGCAGGGGTGGTCTTCGGGTGTAAGAGAGGACAGACGTGGTAGTAAAGACAGGGGATAGGTGAAGGATGATGATGATGATGATGTGAGGGCACTTACCTTGTATTGGCGATGGTCTGCATGGGCGACATCTTCAAGTACTTCGGGTTGCTGCTGATGTCAACAGTTGCATTGTCAATTAGTAGTCTGTAGTAGCTGTGTTAGGAGTAGGCTGGGCGATGAGCGCTAAGTAGGAGAGTGAAGGGACTGGACTCTTGTGTTGATGAGGAGAGAGTATGCCCTCCATGACATTGGTTTTCAGTACTACGAACCTCCATTGGTGTATTATTGGTGCAATGCTGCTCTCTGGACACGGTGTGACTATCTGGCTTTCAATGTGATGGTGTAATCTGGAATTGTCATCTCACTGTTGCTTATTTTCCTTGCATAATCTTTTGAAAGAAGTATTTTGTCATTCTTTCTCCCTCCTCCCATTCCTGCAACTGCAGTCCCCGTGTCTTCCACCTCGCCCAGTCTCCCAACTCTGCACTGGCTGCCTCCATTACCTTCTTATACAGCTCCACTCCTGGGTAACTGATTAGATTCCTCTCTGCAATACGTAGTGCTCGCTGTAGTTCTACCTCCCGTGCTGAGCGTTTGGCAGCTAACTGTCTGGGTACTGTTGCTGTCGCTCCTCACCGATCCTCAATTCAATCTGTGAAGGCCTGTGTTGTTGGATTGTGTGCCAGGCACACTTGTAGTAGGGCCTGCCTCAGTTCCGGAGTCTTGAGCAACGAGTTATTCACCTTGTAAAAGCTTCTACCTCTCTGGATCTCTTTGTCAGTGGTGAGGTTGAGGAAGATAGGTTTGTGGTCGAGACTGGTGTAGTATGGCAGGTCCCCTATCGTGGAAGAGTGTAGCGTTCCTATCAGAGCTTGAGATATTAGCAAGTAATCTATCCTGGAAGCAGAGATGTGCTGGCTGCGGTCAACTGTGTATGGGTCGATGAGGTCCCAAGCTGTCATGAGATTATGGATGGGGAGGGCTTCATCCCCCACCGTTCCTACCCCTAACCGTTCCCCTGACATTCTCTCTTTAAGTGGTTCCGAGGCAGCATTCCAGTCCCCGGCTAATATGAGGTGTCTCGCCGGTTCGATGTGGGCCTGTACCGCGTCTATCATGATGGACCGGGGCTGACCTGCGTTAGGACAATAAACTGAGAACTGATCTTCTTGGTAGATAAAGTTGAGTTCCACCCATCACCCTTTCCCTTCATCCGTCTTTACCTCTTGAAGCACTATTTTGTTTGCCGCTTGAGACCGCTTATTCTGCAGGATTGCTACCCCGGCTGAATGAAACCGTCCTGCTGTTGCCCAAAAACTTGTCTTGACCCACCGCAGTTGCTTGAGGATGCGGCTCTGAATGTGCTCGTGCTTCAGCGAGTCCGTCAGATGGGTTTCCTGTATGCAGAAGAAGTCTGGGGGGTTCTAACAAAACCAGTCAGAATATTTAAGGACATTATTCTATTTGTCGGAAATTTGTCCTGGTTTTCCAGGATCTGCACCATTCCGTTGATATTCCAAGACACTCCCCTCAGGTCCGGCTCTCGTCTGCTTGGTGTGGTCATTACCCTTCTGCGCTTGCTCGGTTCTTCTCTTAGGGGGTTCTCCATTAGGTAATGCTATCTTGGCCTCCCCGGCTCATCGTGTGGCTCTTATTCTGCGATAATCGTGTGGCTCTTATTCTGCTGCAAGTTATCGCTTGAAATATTTTTCCGTACTTCTTTGACCTAACTGTGCATGGAATTGAACAGCAGCATTTTTTACGTTAAAATATATCAGGTAAGAGTGCGGTAGCTCTTTGATGAGGATAACATGGCATATCGCACTCGAAACATTGGCCTATTGGCTTGACTTGACTTACGGGAATGTGTGGATTTGTCTTCGTGGTTTCCATCTTTTTGTGTGACGTATCAGCTTCTCAGGCGTCACAGACGAACCTCACTGAAGAAGGCAGCAGGTCAGGGCCTAAGTGCAGCTGAGGTATGGGAAGTATTTCAGATGCAATCGAAGGTTACAACGTGAATTTGAGTCATTTTTCGCTGTCGTGCCAAATGAAAGGCCTTCCACGATTCAGACCCCAAATTCGGGTCTCAGGGTCAGAGGCCCTGGCCAAGAAAGGCCGAGTTAGTCAATGTCAGCAAAGTCACAGTCGGGAACCTTAGCAGTCCAGTCCAACAGGCACCCAGCAAACAGTCACATCTCAGGGGCAAAAGTCACGTCTTATAATGAAAAGTTATATCGAAGAGTCACATCCCACGAGTAAAAGGGCAGTTCCACAGACAAGAGTCATGTCTCAGAGGCAGGAGTCACAGTCCACAGTCAAACCATATGCTAAAATCGAAAAGTCATGACTCAAAGGCCCAAGCAGCAGCAGACCAATGGAAATTCGGGAAGGTTCCAGGCCTTCACATTCGAAAGCAGACAGGCCGTGGGGATGTGGTACCTAAACCAGTCAGGCCCCAAGAAGCAGAGGCTGGCACGAGTTGAAGTGCAATCCAAGACGACAAAAGGACTGGCCAGCCTCCTCATTCGGGCACATTGCTCATTCGCAAGAAGTATGGAAGTGCTGGTGCACTTGTGCGCTGTAGTGAGGGGCAGAGCGCTGAGCCAGGATGTCGCGCTAAGAGAGAGAGAGAGAGAGAGAGAGAGAGAGAGAGAGAGAGAGAGAGAGAGAGAGAGAGAGAGAGAGAGATTGCGCGGGCAGGGAGAAGGCAGCCATAGCTGCGCCAGTGCAGGGTGTTAGTGGTAGTTAGTAGGGAGCCAGTGGGCGTAGCAGTGGATGTATTCAGTGTATATCCTTGAGCAGAAGTTAGTGAGTATGCAGTGTATGCACGCATGTAGGGAGAGAAGATACAGCGAGGACATAGCTAGGGAGAAGACCAGCAAGGGGAAGAGATACATAAGAGAGAAGAGCAGTAGGGAAAGAGATACTTACCTGAGAGCTTATGGTGGTTACTGGTTACCTTTTGTATGCGCTGATGAGCGCTGGTGACTTGAACTGTTATTGCTCTTGTAATAACTTGTTGGAACTCTAAAGCTGCACTACTTGGTCTTCATCTCTCTGGCCTTCAGTATGAATCTCGTGTGATCTTACACATGCATGTGGTGTGATTGTGTGCACTCATTGGTGATGAACTNCTCTCTGGCCTTCAGTATGAATCTCGTGTGATCTTACACATGCATGTGGTGTGATTGTGTGCACTCATTGGTGATGAACTGAGCGGTTCATAGCAAACTGGTATTGGAGGAGTTGCTCGTTACATCCACTGGACATCGCTGGCAACGATTAAGGCCGGCGAGAAGGGAAGATATGAAAGAGAAGTGAGTGGGGAGAAGTCTGATGAAGGGGGGGAAGGTAGACCGAAGAAGAAGTGGTTAGCTGGACTGGTGATTATGTACCTGCTGCTGCGTTGGAGCGTTGGAGCGGTCGTGGAGCTTCGTCAACGGAACGTTCATTGAAGAGAATCCCCCTATAAAACCTGTATTGCTTGCTGACTTGTCTTGGTGTTTGGTACCTCCCTCACTCTGGTGTTGCTGCCGCTGGGCTGGTCCAAATCTTGTGACATAGTGGATTTGCTTAGGGTCCAGCAACCAGTCCACTCGTGAAAAGAGAAAGAAAAAAAAAATACACGTACAAACATATAGTTTTGCGTAAGGTATTTGCTTAGGGTCCAGCAACAGTCAGACCCACTCAGGAGATAGTAATTAGTAGTTGGGGTTAGGTCTAAGTGGTGAGGTGATGGAGGCCGCTTACATGTGCTTCTAATCACCATGGACGACTACCCCATGTTCTCACTTTTGGCCCTGTCTGTGCTTTGGGGCCCCCTTCTTCGCTTCATTTTCCCTCTTGGCTTCCAACGGACTTTCTGTTCACATGTGGTATTAAGGTCCGGGAAGTCAGCACAGGCGAATGCAGCTGAGGAGCAGGCAGAGATAGATCGCTGCCTGGCTGAGAAGAAAAAAGAAAAGGAGGAGAAGAAAAGAAAGGAGGAGGAGGAAGTGAATAAAAAGTTGTTAGAAGAGAAAAAAAGCATGGAAAGGGAAATGAAAGAAAAAGAGAAGAAGTTGTTGGAGGAACTGGAAGAAGAAGAAGAGGAAGAAGAAGAAGAAGAAGAAGAAGAAGAAGAGGGAGAAGAAAGTGAGAGGTTGATAAGAAGAAGAACCCAGCAGACAGAGGAGAAGGTTGAAAGCAGCCATGCTGGGGAAATCAGGTTGTTGCAGATGGAGGCGATGGATTGGTGGGACGGTTCGGGTATCAGACGGAGATGCCGGAAGAGACCGAGGAGGAGAAAAATGCTTTTGTACTTAAAATGACAGCGGCAGCAGATCAAGAGGAGAGGGACTTGTTGATAGAAGATAAAAGATCCGAACTCAACAACAAGTTGGTGGCTGCAAAAAGACGAGTGTAACGACAAAAAGAGGATGAAGGAGGAGGGGGAGAGGTTGCAAGCACTACTGAAAGAACAAAAGAATAAGCAAGCTTCTACAAACGAAAGGTTTCCATCAGGGAGAGTTTGAGGGAACTTGGAACAATTTCCTGCGCACGGCCTCTCAACAAGTAGATGACCGAATCTTTGGATATTTAAAGCAGCTAGATGAAACCCTCACCAAAAAGATAACTGATCCTGCTGTGGTAAGAAAATTAAAGCTTGGTGGTGGGGGAGGAGATGGAGGAGACAGTGGTGATGATGGAGATAAGAAGGGGAAAGGTCCCAAGAAAGAAGGGAACAGCGAAGCGGAGGAATCCAGGCAGAAGATGAACGTGAAGCTACCATGGACATCTAATGGGAAAAAGGAAGAAAGTGTCTTCCATTGGGAAGCCGCTATGGATACTTATCTGTACGCACAAAAGATTTTGTTCTGGGACCACGTTTTGATGGCAAGTTTGTGTATGGCAAGGGATGCCATTAGCTTTGCCATCTCCTTGTTGAAAGAGGTTGGATGCATTACCATGGTTCAGTATTCGCAATGTACGCGTATTGAGGATTTCTTTAAGGCCCTCGGAGAGAGATTTGAAGATAAGAATCTGGCCCGTAGAACAGAGTCCTTAATCCTCAACATAAGTGATCGTAAGTGGAAGAGTGCGTCAGTCATAAAGGCCACAATTGATGAACTGTTGCAATGCCCAGATCACGGATTGACACCGACACGGATCCTAAATAACTTCGCTAGAGCGCTCCCATGTCCCCTAAAAACACAGCCATATCCCCGCACCAAAGAAGAGGGGATGACCTATGAGAAATTTAGCAAGATCGCAGTAGATCATGCTGGTTTCCTACAGGAGGCACAATACTGCCACTATTGGAAAGACCTGCAAGCAGGAAAGAAGTGGAAAGACCGGACAATTTCAGGTAATATAGCAGGCAAAGATAACCTACTGGTCACCTTCGAAGAAGGAGGGGTAGAGTCACTTACCTTCGACCAAATATATTATGGATTAGAAGAAGACAACAATGGTCACTTAGCCCAGGGAGGGGACTATGCGGCTGTTGCAGCCCGCGGGGGAGGGCGACAAGGAGGAAGAGGCCGTGGTAGAGGAAGAGGAGGCTGCGGTCGAGGTGGAAGAAAAGGACCCGCCGCCCAGACGGGTAGTGGCGAAGGTAGCTACTATGTGGAAGGAAGGGGTAATGGTCCCTTGCAAGGTGGAAGAGGTTCTTACTCCACAGGGGGAAGAGGTAGAGGTAGACAGTCATACCCGGAACACCCAGGGATAGTTGAAGGCAAACCTCGGTTAGACATGGGTATAGATGAAAAAATATGAGAAGAGCGTCGCAAGGCCGGCCAATGTTTTAAATGTGGTGACCCCGACCACATAGTTCCTTTTTGTCCAGAGTACAGGTACCCAAAAGGGAACGGCCAGTAGAGGTTGCAGTTCCCTCTACAGGGACTCTGGATACAAGCAGACTGTCAACCTCCCATCCAGAGGTCCCAATGGCAGAGACTGAGACGGTGGTTGGCCCCCACCTAGTTAGCTGCCCAGAAGTTGCTTGTATCAGGACTTCTCTAGGTGGTTCCCTCGCAAGCATTGGTGATGAACTGATCACTCGTCGCCGTGATTGGGCCGAAATAAAGAAGAAGAAAGGGCAGTTGCTAATTGCCGATATAGAGGTTAGTAAAGTAAGAGTGGGCGCATTAATAAATAGCGGGTCAACACGCAGCTATATAAGCAGCTGCAGAAGATGCGCCGAGGGTTGAAGGTCCAGAAGTTTGACCAGCCTATCGTAAGCAAGCTAGCAAATAATAGAGAAATGGTAGTAGATAGTTATGTTGAAGGGGTTAGGGCATACTTTCGGTTGGAGGCAGGGGGTAAAGTGGAACAAGTTTGCACTCCCTGACACTCTTAGTGGAAGACAGTCTCCCTTTTGACATGATCTTAGGAACAGATTGGGGCGAAGTTGCGGTTGCGGACATCAAATTGGGTGAGCATGAGTGTCCTCTCCCCAGTCCCCAGGGTGGGAAAAATAAGGTACGGTTGTTTCATGCATCTGGTGCAGAAAATAGCCTAGCCCATTGTTGTATGAGTGTCCCTACATTTACCCGGCATGTGGCCAAGAATGGCCTCACAGATCAAGTGTTTGTTGCGTATGTGCGCCCGGTGAGTGAAGAAGAAAGAAAGATAGAGCATGTTCCCCCCGAGATATAGAAATTGATGAGTGAGTTTGCAGATGTGGGAGAGGCCCCGAGTGGAGTAGTTGAAAGAGCGATCAAGCACCAGATCGATCTTGAAAATACCCAAGGGCCCGATTTATAGAATTTCTCCCATGGAACTGGAAGAGTTGCGGAAGCAATTAGATGAGCTATTAGAAAAGGGGTGGATTAGACCAACTTCCTCACCATTCGGTGCCCCAGTGCTATTCGTACCAAAGAAGGGCGGTGAACTACACATGTGCATAGACTACAGGGGGCTGAATACTATAACTGTAAAAAATGCAGAGCCGCTACCCAGGATAAACGATTTGTTGGATAGGGTGCAAGGTTGC